CCACAGCAAAAGGCCGATTTCCATTCTGACACAAACAGAGAAAGTGTTTGCTATGCCTAACTGTTCACATTAAGAAAATACAAGGTCTAACATCACCCTCATGTACTGATGTCACAAATAATAAAAGTCCATAACAATGTAGCATAAGATCATGCTAACTGGTTCACAAATACTTCCATTCAATTTCAACTTTTGAACATTACAATAGATTTGTTCCCTATTTTGCATCACTTTTGTTAACCTCTTAAACCTTAGGCCTACTAGTCAGTCAGGTTTTAAGGGTCTTCCTGAAAAAAACTGTACTGTGTTTTCCAACTAGAGCTAAAAGAATAAAATTTCATGTCTTACATGGTCTTCTTTATCAAGTTCTCTCATCTGAAGGTCATCCACAATGTACTCCACAATTTCAGTGTGGTCATTAATGGCAGCACAGTGCATCATGTTCATCCCTTGCTGGGAACAGAATGACAGCACACAGACATAAGAGATATTGAAATTCAGAACTGGTCATATTTCATCAGACATTATATGTAACAGTGAGATCACAACCTCACCATGTTTTCAATCCTCTGATCAGCCCCACCTTGTACAAGTAACTTCAAGATTTCCAAACTGCCAAACCAAGCTGCCAGGTGAATGGCAGTTACTCCATACTGTGTGGGAGATGAAAGTGGACAATGATAAATGGATACCACAGTATTTTCACTAGTGCACACAAAATGAAGTTCCCAAAAATGTTTTTTTGGAGTGATGCCATAGGAGAACCACGTTTGGTTCCCTAAAGAACATAATTTGTCTGTGGTATAGCTCCAAAAATACCTTTTGGATACCTTTATTTTTTAAGAGTGTATATTCCACATGTGACTGTTTGGTCTCATTTAAATGGATTTTTCTGTAGCATACCTTGTCCTGTAAGTCCAGCTTTGCTCTCCTCCTAAGGAGGACATCAACTGCTTCCACATTTCTGCATGCCACTGCATAATGAAGGGCAGTACGATTGTGCTGAGATGAAACAAAGAACGTTTAGAAAGTTCTAGATTCAGAGACGGAACACATTAAAGCCATTATGTAAATTATTTCCTGGACCCTAAAAGTACAGTAAGTAGAATTTCCATATTTTCCTTTGAAGTAAAATAAAAGGTTTTTCTGAGCCCACTGACCAAATGACATGTGCATCACAACTGCATTAGTATTTTATTATTATTAAATAATAAATATTGTATGTACTAAATAATATAGTATATACACTCACCAAGCACTTTATTATGAACATCATATCTACACTCATTGTCCATTACATCAGCTCCACTTACATTTAGGTGAACAAATTTGTAGTTCTACAATTACAGACTGTCATTCATCTGTTTCTCTGCATACTTTGTTAACCCCCTTTCACCCAGTTCTTCAATGGTCAGGACCCCCAAAGGACCACCACAGAGCAGGTACTATTTGGGTGGTGGATCATTCTCAGCACTGCAGTGACAATGAAGTAGTGTGGGAGTGTGTGTTGTGCTGGTACAAGTGGATCAGACACAGCAGTGCTGCTGGAATTTTTAAACACCCCAGTGTCACTGATGGACTGAAAATAGTCCACCAACCAAAAATATCCAGCGTCCTGTGACCACTGATGAAGGACTAGAGGATGACCAACACAAACTGTGCAGCAACAGATGAGCTACCGTCTGTGACATCACTTCTACAAGGTGGTCTAACAAGGTAGGAGTGTCCAGTAGAGTGGACACTGAGTGAACTCCAGCAGCACTGCTGTGTCTGATCCACTCATACCAGTGCAACACACACTAACATGCCACCACCATGTCAGTGTCACTGCAGTGCTGAGAATGATCCATCAACCAAATTGTACCTGCTCTGTGGTGGTCCTGACCACTGAAGGTAAAAGGGGGCTAACAAAGTATGCAGAGAAACAGATGGACTACAGTCTGTTATTGTAGAACTACAAAGTGCACCTATATGATAAGACGAGCTGATAAAATGGGCAATGAGTGTAGAAACAAGGATAATCCTAATAAAGTGCTCGCTGAGTGTATATTGAAATACAGTAATAAAACTTCAAAAATTCCTATTCATAAAAACTCTCCAAACATTTTCACTGACCTACCACATTTTTTGCGTTAACGTTCACACCCCTTCCTAAAAGCTTCATGGTTTCCACGTCATTCCTCTTTGCTGCTTCAATGTATTCTTTCTCCGTCTCTAACACTGGAGCAGAGCATTGGAGAAGTGGAAAAAGTTTATCAAAAGAACTGACCAATTCACTGTAGCATTTAAGATCAATATGGACAGTCATTTTACTTCTGGCAATCGCGGTAAAATATTACAAGAAAACTGCCAGCCTGCATGCTCAGGTATGCATGAACAAATCACTCAGCACACATAAACAGAACTCGATTGAGGTGTTCACTTCATGGATGACTAGGAGGCAGTCTTGTGTGACCATTAATGATTTACTCACGGGAGGCTATTTACTTCTAATGTCTCCATTATTTGTACATGACAACATCCAAGAAAACGAAGGATACCCTACAGCATTAACATTTCTCACCAGTTTTCTCACCAGAGTTTGTTGTTATACAAAACCTTAAAAGCCAACCTGGCCACTTTTCAGTACTCCAAGAAGAGAGGAATTTAATTTAATCATAAAATAAATAAAAACATACAATTTTGTGCTGGGGTGGCATTTTTTCCAGGGGTGGGGCAATGCCTAAACTGAGAGCTTTAACATTAAAGCAACTGAATATATAAGTAATCTACAGACAAAAAAAAGCATTAAAATCTATAACTTAAAGCTTACAAAATAAAGCTCTCTAAATGGTTTTGGCTTAGATGTAGAGTTCCAGAAATAAACTTTAATTGGTAGAGAATTTGTTTTCATTATGTGGTTTTATAAACTTTAAAAAGGTTTGTCAGACACACATCTCATTCATAGAAACGGATCTTTAAAAACATTCATTTAAAAGATCTTAGGGAACCAAGAGGTTCTTCCCTCCAATCCTTTTTGGTGCCTTTGACACCTTATCATGTCCATATCTGAGATTTCCTAATTACTTTGGTATTCTATGTGCCTGCCAGAGCACAAATATGAAGAAATCGTTCAAACCATGACTGAAAAGGTCATATAGAAATAATGACTTTAATAAAGCCATAGAGAATCTTAAACTGTTTGAAAATTACAGTATGAAAATTAAATGTATTTTTTGAAAATCTAATATCAAGATGCATCTTTAGATGATTCCCCAAGGGGTAATATTATTATAAGTATTTATTATTGATTATTATATTAAATCTCACCCTACACTTATTGGAACAAGTTATGTGCCATTTTTTCTTAATCATACTAAATTCAAAGGTTAGACATGAACAGGTCAAGAGTTCACTGCCTCTGATATTATCAAACATCTATTATGATTCAGGGCAAAACAATCAGTTTGGACAAAAATTATTTCAGCTAGGGAGAAGTAATATGGCAAAAAATATCATATCATGATACTACATTGTATGATATACATCACAATATTTTGACACAGGAACAATGCAGAAGTAGAGCCGCATTTAAAAACTGCCATCAAAAATACAATGACCTTCACTCATCTCCCATACTGCACTGCACTAAATCCAATAAATACACAGGACTAATTATGCTTTCTATGTTATGAAACATGCAATTGGTAAGTGTTATTGAGGTACTGATGATATCCACGGTATGCTTACAAAGGCATATTGTCACAATGACAAAAGTTATCATGCTCAGAATAAACTATCAACATGTTGTAAACTTCTGATTTCAGCTATAAGGAAACTAACTTTTTAAGTCTTAAATCTATTAAAAATACACGACTTGTAACAGAGTAGGCGAATAACCGAATTACTGAAGCTGCTACTAGATCACAGGAAGTACTCACACATCTCCACATTATCAAAACTGCTGTCTGCCTCTGGCTCTTTCTGGAGTACAAAATCTGTGAAGTCTTTGATATGCTCTGATTTCATCCATATTTTAGGGTTCAGGTTTTCCTTTTTTAGCATGGGATGCTTCATGATCCTTTCTTTCAGGGCCAAAACTTTCTCCTCCATTGTGCTCTGTGTTGTGGTGAAGCTTTTCGCTTTGACACAGAAAGAGCTCTGTAACATGGCCACGTTTGTTTGCTTTGGAAGCCTACACCCTAAGGAAATTTGCTCTTACTCAAAGTACATACAGTTAAACTTTTCAAGAACTGATTGTGCTGAAAGGCTTGCAAAGACTTCTTACAAGACGCTCTACAAGTTTTGCGTTAAGACTTGGTAAGGGAGGGTAACTTGGTGATCTGAATGTGTGGAAATAACATCAGAGTAAAAAAATTAAACAGCATATGAGGTGATACCTGCTACATAACACATTTAGAGAAAATGAAGTGAAGGTATTTGTAGTCGAGCATGAGAATGAGCAAAATATCCTACTTCGTATGAATGCAACTTCAAACATCAGGCATTACAAAATAGAATCATTTAATTTTCCCATGATAAATTAAAAACACAATCTTTAATTTTAAAAGTATATCCTTCTTATATTATATAATTTCAAATCATTCAGGTCGTCCTTGTAACACAATACATTCCCTTAGATGGTAAAGTGGGTACCACTATGCAGGTAGGGGGTCTCACTGATATTACATTTACATATGAGTGCATGCAAAGGTAAAAGATATTTCAAACAAAGGTAAAGCGTCCTTCATGATATATGTGCACTTAGATAAAAAATATTTCTGCCTATCTCAGCCCACTGTTGCTACACTCTACCTTAAAAATAGCTCATTAAAATATTGTTTTAAGACCTAATATTTGTGTATGAATGTGTAGATTTATTCACCAACTTATGTTTGCAACATCCTTTTTCATGAGTCACCCATGGTAAGTTATGAAAAATGTGTATTTTGTGTCCCACAACATTTCACTGAATGCTGTTAGCTGAACACGTTCACCAAGGGGTGGGCAGTATGCAAAAATATCATCACGATACTTCAAGATATTTTAATGACCCACAATATACATCAAAATATTTAGTTTTTCTAGGCTTAAATAAGTTGAAACAATGGATAAAAGAGAACCCATAGTGCCACATGGAAAAATACATTAATAATAATAATAATAATAATGATAATAATCCTCTAATTGAAGTGTTATGCAATGTTTTACAAACTGCATTGCACAAAATCAAATTAAACAGGCCAAATTATACTCACTTTGTAATGAAACAGTTTTTTATACTGACAATGTCCACAATAAAAGCATATCGTGACATAACTTATCTCGTTAACAATAGTCATACTGCCCACCCCTACATTCACTCCTCTGAAATATGTATATTATGCCACATGTTTAATAGGAAGCTACATCATGCAATTTCCTGAAGATCATGGGAAGAAGAAGAGTATTGCATTGTTAACCCCATAGTTCTCCCTAATTTAGTCGTGTCTAATAACCGCTAGCTAGGTCTCCCCTATCACACAATGCTACCGAGGTTTAAGGGTGAAGACTAACATATGACTCCTCTAAGACATGGAAAGCAAAACCCCATCTTTTCAAACTGCTGCTAACACATCATCATTGGACAGCTCAGCACACTTGGAGAACACTAACTGCCAATTCTGTTACAGCAGCTAAAAGATACCTGCATTGACTAGCACTGAGCTGAGTGATGGGGGGAGAGATAGTGCCAATTACGCTCTCATGGATGCTACACACTTTGTGTATTTGCTACTTCTATGCTAAAAAAACAAAAACAAACAAACAAAAAAGTCAACCCTCTTTCTTTCAACCCAGTGCACTGTTCCTGAAATGGGTTTACATATTTTTTTAATAGTCAAATTGATGTTTTTTTAGACTGAATGCTGAAAATTAAGAGAATTAATTTTTCAGTTTTATAAGGGCTAAAAAACCTTAATTGTGGAATCATCCATGAAGGTGTCACCACCTGGTGGTGAATAAATTTAATCTTGAATCAGATTTCAGCCGAGAGTTAGCTGATAAATCAACAACTTCACGAATGTAGTCAAAAAAAGAGAAAGAACTGTACTAAAAAACAAACTTTTTTTTTTTTGCCAAAGGATTACTCTTTCTAGTTCAGTTAGAACTGATAGCCACCTTTATGGTTTCTTCCTTGAATTTTCTGAATGTTTTTTTATTACCAGAATACACTGAATGATATGTCTAATAAAAAAGGCTGGAGAAACTGCTTGTTACTGGAGGAATGCCAGATGGAATCACTGAAGCAAAACAAAGCAAAAGCTTTCAAGATTCAGGAGGTCTTTTACCAGGCTGCTGGTCCGTGAACACCAATAAATTGAATATTTATTTCTCATTAGGTTTAGATAATATTGTGCAAGGTCTGTAAAGTGCTTTGTGTCTATAATTTCAGAAATACAAAATAGTAAGAAAGCATTATTATGTTCTTCCAGCATAAGAATAAAAATGTTAAGAAAAATATCGTCTTAGCAACCAGTCTGTTTAGCTTCAATTACGTACACTATGCAAAAATGCCTTTTCCTTTTGTCTCAATTAAATACACACATAATATAAGCTTTTTCCACATAGCATATCCATATTATTTTAAAAGTGCACTCACTAAAATTATTTTACCCAGAAGTAAAAATTCAACAGTATATCCAAAGTCTTTCTCTAATATACGTTACTTCATTGACAGTTGTGCTGCTTGGTGTGGACTTATTGAGTGTAGGAGCAGTATCAGATAAATTCTGTTAGAATGTCTGGTTGCTGTTTCCCTTGAAGAATTTGTCAATGGTGTGTCTTGTGCTAATGGCTTTGGATTTCTTTGAAGGAGGATTTGGTGATGATCCGCGCCTGTAGATAAACAAGAACATAAATACATACATCTTAGTACTATAGCTTTGCATCTGTCATAAAACAAATACACTGAAGTGTCCATCATGGATTTTTAAATACATGTTCCAATTTCTAGCACAGAAATACTTCATTAGTGTCAGAACACATTTCACATATCAAATTGCTGCTGAATGTTATGAGCTACTGTAATTCATGAAGCATAAAGTTAAAACACCAGTTTTAGTGAATTTCCTTCTTCAAACGCATAAAAGCTACAAAATTACATATTTTCTATTGAGACTGCATTGTATAAATGTTAAGTCAAAACATTTATATCAATATTTATTATGTGTGTGTCTATCTCTCACTCCGTAGGTAGGTAGGTAGGTAGGTGATGAATGAGGCCCATATTAGGCTGGCGGTTATGTTTTGGCTCATCGATGTAAAGGTGTATTCTGCATTACACGTGTAAAATTACTTCAAATTCAAGTTAAATTGATAAACATCAGACATTATCTGCCACAATTAATGTAAGTGGGCATGTTAATTGTCATGTATACTCAAAAACAGCAAAAATCTGAATGGAATAACAATTTCTATTCAGATAAAATTTAGTGTAAAGAACATTTTTTGCAATTTTGTATAACTCATTATTTGGATTACATACTGATACTTAAAATGAATTGTTTATGAGGTCCATTTAGTAAAAATCTGAACAGTCAAAATTGCCCATAGTTGCAGAAACCCATATTTACAGAGTTTGCACATGACTTTGTTAAAAGAATCTGACCTTTTGCTTTTCCCTCTTGTATTAGAAGCTCTCTCATGATCTGCAAAATACCCAAAATACATACAGTTATAGCAAAAAACAGCAAGTCAACAACAAGTCAACAAAAGGAGCACTCCAGCATTTTTCGACTAAATGTATCTGTTGTACCTGCATTATAGCAGTGATTACTGTGGAGAATAATTTCAACATGTTCCCCTGCATTCAGAACAGAACTGAAAATCCACTGAAAAAGAAGTCACTCGGCAGTGACTGAACATTTGAAATATGTGATTATGCAATGCAAATTTAAAACTACAACTGTTAAAATCTTGTCTAAGTACAGGGAAACATGCCCAAATTACTGTCTGTGGTAGCCAAAAGCGTGATAATACTGCTTTATAATTTTTTATATAAATTATATATATCTAACTAAATCTAACACTGACCTTTGGCTTTTCCCAGCAATACTGTAACTGGCTGACCACATTGGGGACTGGCTTCTCTGAACTCCAGCAACACTTCCTGGTTAAGGCACATGTCCACATGGCGGTTGAAGAGAGTGAGGTCATCTGTATCCTGAGCTTGGTTGCATACTGGACATGTCAAAGTGGAGATTTTCACATTCACGTCCTTCATTATAACCGCATCAGGACTAAAAGTCTGTTTTAAGGCTTTAGATCCAGAATCAGTCATTGATAAGGCTTCATCAGGCACAAGTGAACGCCTTTCGTTCATGTTTGTAAAGCGTTTAAAAAACGGTGTCCTAAAATCGGAATCTGCACCATCTTCAAATACTAGTTTGGTTGCTACTGCATTTGAGGAACTGGTGCAATGCCCCTCATCTGCTATTGTTAACATGCCTCTGTTTAAATTTTCCAATGACATACTGGTTCCAGAACTTGAATCTGTAGCTTTAGCATGATAAGACACTGGCTGATCTTTTTCCACATGATCCTGTTTGTCCAATTGTTTCTCTTCTTCACACACATCCTGACCTACATCCATGAATGTGCTCCCATCGTCCACTGCACTGCCCTTAAGGCATTCGTCTATATGTTGGTTGAACACTCTGAGGTCCGTAGTTTCCATTTCATTGAAGCACACAGGACAGGTGAAGCACTGCAGCGTATTTGACTGTGCTTTCACTAATGACTGCATGTTTATACATTCAGTTATGTGTGATGCTGTATTTGTAGCAGGCAAGCTTGTGTCAGTTTTAACTACCATTCTGTCAATTTCTGTACAAGTTCTTGATGAGCATGCATGGGATACTGTTGAGTCTGTGGCTGTAAATGGTTCATCTGAAGACAAAGAGGTTTCTTGCTCAGACTGCTGTTGCAACCTTCTTGAAAGGGCCCTTTGGAAAAAGGTCTGCTGCTGGGGTCTCCTAGTACCCTCAGATTCGTTCCCCAACTTACTGACAAGCCTGGGTATTTCTCCTACAATTGAGGGACTTCTGGTCTCAGATTGTTGCTTCAGAGAACTGACACTAGACTCAGACACACTGCCCTCTTCAGGTCTGAAAAAAACTCTGGGTGGTTGTCTTGAACTGCTGGAATCTGACGCTATCTTCAGAAAACCCACTATGCTCTTCTGCTGGGGCCGTTTGTCATCAGTACTGATAAAACTTGAGACCCGAACACCTATCAAAAAACAAGATCAAATGTATCAAAGAAATAAGTTTTTACAATGTGACAATATAATCAACTGAAAGATAATCTAGTAGTTGTAATGGTGAAAGGCAACTGTATTTAGTATAAACCAAAAGATGTTTTACCACTCATTTAAAGAAGCTGGTGAGCAAAATTACACTTATCCAAGACATCAGCCAAGACATGTTGGAAGTTAAAATTTTGCTTCTTTAGTTTAGAACTGGAGCTGTGAGGCTAACAGTGCTAACGAACGTTAGATTTCAAAAGTCAATCAAAGATCCCAAACTGTTCTTAATCTTAATTAGTATCATACTTGTTAGGTTTAGGACACAGTATGACAAACTGTCAACTATAAAAAATGAACAAAATTTAGACAACATAGTCTGTATTTACAAACTACCTCAGGGGTAGGAGTGCTGATCCAAAATCAGTTTTTGACCATAATAAACACAGAGGAGTCTGATCCAAAATCAGTCCTCTAATTTACGACAGCTTTGTGAATACCAACGCTTGGTACCTGCAGCATTGACGATTTGTTAATTTTTATAGTTCATAGTAAGATATACTTTGTACTAAAACACATCAACTAGTCTGTGTGGCTTTATTTAAGAACGTGATGCAATTTGAAAAGGTTAAGAGAGGTTTTGCTGTATTTTTGATGTATCTTTAAAGAAAGAAATTCAGGCTATTTGGGTGACTACTGAAATGTTTGTTAGCCTCATAGCTCCAATTCAGAACTAAAAAAAAAACAAAATCTGGACACCAAACATGCCTTTGCTGATCAACCACATTTAGGTTAAGTTAAAAATTAAGCAAATCTGATTTTTCACCCATCTATTACTTTAAAACGCTTTATTAATTCAAATGAGTGATGGAAATATTCCCTAGCATTTAAACCCCTTTAAATACAGTCGCCTTGACTTGACAACATGATTCCATAACTTGTATGACTGAAAAGCTTCAGAGACAAAGAGATGATTTAGGAACATAAACACATAAAGAAAAGGAGATGTAGAGATGTAGGGGACACAGAAGAGGCATTACAACTGCCTAAAAATCCTCACAATACCACACGTCTAGACTTCAGGTTAATAATGAAGTGGCAGTTAGACATTCAAAAAAAATTTATCACAGTGACTAATAGAGTTATCAGGATTGTCTACTGATGCAGAAAAATGCCTTCAATGATTGTGCTAATAACCATCTCATTGAAGTTAATTACTAGAGTTATTACCAAGCCTAATGACAGGAAAAAATTCAATCCTGCCTGCAAAGGACTCAGGCAAACTACTTTGGTAAATCTGATGGAATTACATGAAGTGTGAAGAGCTTTTAATGGGCGTACAAAGAAGAATTACATGTCTTGGTGAGTAAATAAAAGCAGGTAATCACAAAACCATGACTTCCACTCCAAGGTCCTGATGCCCAGGAGAGATTTTATCCATCCTAATTTGGTTCATCACCACGGTAATAATCAAAAAGATGTCAGTGAAAAAGATGTGTACCCATTAGTCTCAGTCTCAGTGGCTGAGGGCTGACATGATCAATCTCAGCCTTCAGAAGGTCCTTGGCAGCAGCAAAAATCTCCTCTTCAGTGCAGACAGCACACTGCAACGTGAACGCTTTGGTCTTCACCTCAAAGTTTACATTCTTCAATTTCAAGGTGACAGTTTTGCCCTATATGTAAAATTGCACAATGAAATGAGTTAATTCTATTTCTGTGTAGTCAAAGTTGACCTTAATTCCAAATGTAACACAGACAGTTAAGATAAAATATTATACTACAGCCATTGTAGTCTCTGGCAAATAGCTTCACACAGGCAAGACATAAAAATTAGTAACAAGACAGACAAGGGAAAAAAAGCTCTCCACCAAGCTCAATACATCCCTTATGTTTCTGCATTCAAAAGCTGTACCTTGAGGCCCTCTTTCTGTAGGTCCTTTGCCAAGTCGTGACAGAGCTCCCGGCACAGAGAATACTGCTCCTCTGTGTCACTCATCTCCCCAAACGTCCTGACAAGAAACATGATCATGAATCATTCTGTGTCAAATCACCCATAAAAGATCTTGGAGTCACTGCATTTCCATTTTTTTTCCATTCAAACATGAGATTTGAAGACAAATGGTCAATTCATGACCATTAAATGCAGCTGATCCAGGATCATTTACAGGTGCTGTTAATATCCCCTTTTCAGGTGCTCTGTTACAGAATGGCTTTTTCAGGCAATGTGAAAACATAAGGACACTGGGCAACTGAACAAGAACTGCTGACAGAAAACAAAATAAGTGGAGAGTACAAGGTGAGATTCACCACTGGACATAGATCGTGAAGGAAGAAATTACCTTTCTGTGCTCATGCTTTTTCTCTCAGAATCTCTGCAAGTAAAAACAGAGGCAGCTTGCATAAAGTTAAATGCTTAAGTGATAAATTTAAAGCCATAAATGTGCATGTACATTTTGCATCTGTCAAAATAAACCTACGGGCTAAAAACTCAACTTGCAATTACAGATTTTTTTTTTTCCTTTCTACTTCAGGGGTGTCCAATCTGATCCGAAGAGGGCCAGTGTGCAGGTTTTCATTCCAACAAAGCAGGAGATCACATTATCAAATGTTTGAAGCCTGAGAGGAACTGATTAAACTAGTGGAATCAGGTGTGCTTCAGCTTTGCGGATCGAGCTGGACACCCCTGTTCTGCATAAAGGTTTCCCTGAAGAGATTTTATGAAGCTAAAAAGGAGGTAAAGGAGACTATATGAAGCTAATAAGAAGGTAAAGGACCATTTGAGGCCAAACTTTACTTAAGATGTGTTATGCAAGTGACCACAGATCCTCACAAATGCTTTCCCTTTGTTGCATAAGACTGACAAAGACAGTTCAGGCATATTTAAATCTAATAACTAGCTGGCCTGAATTGCATTATGACACACACATTACTCAAGCAAAGATTTGGCTTTTAATTTTCTATATCTACTCATACATTTGTACAAACTAATTCTAATGTAATGTACAACTGCTGAATATGAAAAATTATAAAAAAAAACAAAAACAAAACCAATGTGTCACATTTTAATGACAAAAGATATAAGTGGTAGTAGGGCAAATAAACATATATAACATTTATTAATATTCTTTTTAACCTCTCTATATGCGTAGAGCCAAGCCCAAGTGAGATTTGGAGGAAATGATGCCAGGATGTTTCAGAGAAGAGCAATGAGAGGACTGCCATCTGCTGTCCAAGTTGAGCACAACTAATGATGTCCAAAGCAGCCAGCATCTTTTCAGTCACTTTCCCAATCCCAGACACCTGCAATACAAACTTCTTTAGCATTTCAGCAGCCACTATCTTGTAACTGTTAAACTTATGTGTCATTTTATTGTCCTATGATGTCATTTCAGTAATCAGTAGTGTTAGTTTGCATATAGCTATTGTCATAGCTTCTTAACAATCTCATAATTCAGAGGATCAGGCAACAATGTTTGTTTGTCAAAATACATTTTTGTTTACTTCAGGTGCAACAACAGCGAAAACAACATTCATTTTCTCATAGAGAAAACCAGCTTAGATCTGGAGTTCCTAATACAGCCAGGACACTGGCTACAGAATGACTACACGACTTCAGAATCTATCATTAGAGACCAAAATGAAGTAGACACGAACCTTCCGAACAGGCAGATCCTGGATAAAGTCCATCACAGCCTGTCTCTCAGGAGGAATTCTGTACTGTCCATTAGGCTTGTTCTTGTCACTGCATACCTTCGCAAGCATCATGTTTGGAGCAATACCTTAAGCAGAGAGAAACAAATGACAAAAAGGCATCAATCATTAATGTTTTTATAAAGTATATAATGCTGTTAAAGAAGATTACAAATGACCTAAAAGCATATTTTTGGAATCACCTGCACTTGCAGTCAGAGAGGTTTTTTGCTCAATACGGAAACGCATTTCTCTCACAGCCTCTTCAGGACTCGTTCCCAAACACCTCCACCTTCCCATCAGCCCCTGGTAATGTAGGCGAAGCACTTGGGCTGTCCTCAAACAGTACAGGGGAAAGAGTATCTCTCTCAGCTCCAACCTCTGTACTAGTTTTTTCTGTGTCTTTAACAGAAACAAGGGGGAAAACCATGTAATTGCTCTGCTCTGTTTAAATTTTATTTTCTAATATTTTACTAACACGAGAGGATTCATGAGTGATACTAAAATTATTTACAAATGATTTAATTCTATATGATTATATGCATGTTAAGTAGCTAAATTTGTTACAATTTATTTCCTTTCTAGCTTGCCCAGCACTTTCTGTCAAAGGACAGAAACTGTATTTACTTAAAAGCATCATTTTTAAATTATCGCCTTAAAATCTCCTTGAAATGTGTGTGCCCACATTTCAATCCCAGATTCTGATAATTACATTAATTACACATTAGCTTTGTAATAGTTATTTTATTCAAAAGTAATTACTGGATAACTCTATTGCTGATTACCTCAACAATAAGTAATTTCATACTTCAAATTGTCCATTTCAAAGTACTAAAGTAGCTGCGCAAAGAGCTACAGTGATGTCTAATCTTAACAGTACTCGCTACCTCCTTCAGTCTTTGTTTCACTGATGTGATATGTTCTCATAGACTCAGGCCAGTGCTGCCTCTGCTCCAGATGGTCAGTGATGTCCAGATAAGCTTCATCTAAACTCATGGGTAGAAAGTGAGGATCATAATCTGCGAATATCTCACGCACCTTAAAAACAAACACATATAAATATGTTAAAATTGACAGTAAGTTGTCTATGACTGCAACTAAATGGAGGTTAATGCTGAGCTCAATCAGTTGAAGAACGGAGATATTTGACCATCACCTGTTCACTCACTGCTGTGTATTTGCCAAAGTTGAGTGGAACAATGACCAAGTTTGGGCAGAGTCTCTTCGCAATGAAGCCCGGCATAGCAGCACGAACACCATACCTCCTGGCATGGTAATTGGAAGTGGACTAAAAAAGTAAAACATGTTACACTGATACATATAATACATGTATTTAAGAATAGATGCAGGGCAAAAAAACTGAATGCTTGCAAAAACGAGAACCATGCCACTGTCAACATTTTATACCAGTTCCTAAAACCTAGCCCGAGCTGTTTTTACGTATTCAATAGCCCATTCTTTATTACAATCAGTTAACAATTTGTCTACCACTGGCAGTCAGGACTACAACGATCAGTGAGAAAAGTTGATAAACTTGACTGTGAAAACACTCAAAACAGCATTCTATAATGCACTATAATTTTCACATGATCACTCTGACAGCTTGCAATGGCATTTTAAGCACACATTGAAGGAACACTTCAAAGGAAATAACCTGTCTTCTGCTAGTTTAATTTAAAATTAATTTTTAAAAAGTCGACAGGTTAAATGACAAAGAAATAATGGTTAATTGTAGCCCTAGCAGCAGCAACTTTGTGTTTCACAGTAAGATTCCTAAATACACGTTGTGTGAATCATCATACCTTTAGGGTTACGTAAAGAGTTTGCAAGCAAACACGGCCACCAAAGTGATACATGCTAAAAGCTGCAATATGTTTTACTACTGTTTGGTTCACAGTGGCATACCCAAGCCCATTAGACACAACTTTGTAATGATGACACTGCACACAAGTGGCTGAAAGGGCACCCAGTGTGATTTTGCCCTAGTTCCAGTTACACTACTTATTCATCTAATATTTACTTAACAGATGAGTAGTGAGAAATATCTTAAAAAGAAGCTGCAAGAACAGACTCGTAGCCCAGGTACCCTGTTAGGTGCAAATTTAGAGAGAAGCGCTTTGTAGTCAATTTTAAACCTTACTGAAATACTTTCAGGACAAATGGTGATATCTTGAAGTGTATTTTGGTAATTCATTATTTTTGTTGGTGCAACCTACTTGAGTAAAACAAAGGCTCAGAATCTAAATAGTCACCTTTTACAGCACTAACAAAAATACCAGGTTAAACTGAGGCAGGCAGCTGGTCACACCATCTGTTTTTATATATATTTCCATGACAATATAGTTTCACAGGGGAAAAAAAATCACTCAGGGCCCCTTACAAACAAACAAATAAATAAATCATGTGTGTACTTGTAATAACAGACTATTGTACAAACACTGTAGGGTGCGTATTGCCAAAGTATAGTTCAAATCTGTGGGAAACACAGCAGGAATGAACATGCTCCAAGAAAATGACCTTACTCAGACCAGACTTCGTCAGACAGAACAAGCATCCTTACCAGCATACTCATGGATCCCACAGCCATGGGTGTGTCCTTCAGTTCTGGACAGTCTCTCATCTCCACGGCAGCATAAAATGCATCCATGTCCACATGCACTATCACCCGACCCAGCTCACGGCCCCTTTCCAGCTCCGCGGTCAGCTTCTCCACCTACAGAACAGAAATACTCAAATATGTGTATTAACATACCCTTATTACATAACAAAGAAATAATAGAAAAGCACAAATTTCTGACATCCCATCCATCAGATGATCACTAAAATTACTAAAGCTTTCTCAAATGCAGAACACACGAAAAAACCGAATTACCTCCGCTTGTGCTTTCTGTATCTGCTGTTCTGTGACCTTAGCTTTATGCCGCAACATCTTCTCAATGCGCTCGTTCACCTGTCGCTCCTTTTTTAGCTCATTTTCATAGAATCTGGAGCCCTGCAAAGCAGATACAAGTTTAGACTTCCAAGCCTTTTGTATCTTTTTAAGTCTAGTGCACACCAGCTATCTTTTTAGCATATTAATATATCACTGCACACTTTGTTTACTTCATTCAATTTATCTTGCTGAATGTCTAGATTTCCCTTTTAGTTTCAATGTAGTCAAGCAACGATAAAGACATTTTTAAGCCTTTTTTTCTCATCGTTATGAAGAGTGCCGATAAAGCTTTAGAGACTACTAATAACTTGTATTTTCAATTCACAGATTTTTCTGGTATTCCACATGAAATACTATTTTTGTATTCCTCATAATCGTTAGTGGGACAAAGCATGAGTTTCACATGTTAAAAACATGCACAATACCAGACATTCTGCCAAAGAAAGTACATCAGACGCTACTCTGGGTGTGGCCACGTTCATCACTTGAGCCATGGGAAATGTTACTGAAGAAGAAAAGATACAGCTAGATGAGAGAGTCCCACCCAGCCCTCAGGGACCCCCAGCCAGTCCTCATTTTTGCTCTATTCAAGTCCCTAACGCACCTGAGCCCAGGTAATCAGCCCTTGTGATGAGAACATGAACATAACAAAAATGTGGACTGGCTGTGGGTCTCTGAGGACTGATTTAGAAACTTCTGAGCATCTCTGGTAGGGTTTCCTTCCATATAAAGTGTTGTATTTCGGTTGTTGCACACAATCTGAAGATTAAAAGTCAATGCCCAGTCTTAATGGAGATTATGGGGATTACAAAAATGCCACTGTGGATCGACTGCGTGTATCAAAAAGCCTGGTGCTATCAGTCAACAAACCTCGACATTAAAACCTCGGCAGTGTGTCCTAACTCCAGTCTAGTAACTCCAGTTTGATGAACTCCAGTCATCAAACACAACAGTTGTGTGTTTTCTTTCTTGCTGTAACCCATCTGATTCAGCTCAAAAAGTACATGATCATTAGCTAACTGACCAACAGCTAATAAGCAAATACTGCAATACTGTAGAGGAATTTCTACAAGACTCCTATGCAAATCCTAAAGGAAACTGAACCACTATATGTTATAGCTTACTGCAGAATAGAATACATATTATAAATGACTAAGGCAGTAATACCCGAAGATTATACTAAGGCTGGAATACAGATATTAAGCAGTACAAAGTACTACAGACATTGTATTTTTATTTATCGCTACAGTTCTTTTTTTAGACACAGTGGCACTGAGCCAACAAACCACCATTAACTAAATCTTTTAGCAAACCTTGGATGTCTCGAGGATGATCTTGTTGATTTTGTCCCTGTCGAGGCCCTCCATACCAGCCTTGTTGTCGTTGAGGGCAATTCTGGAGAGCAGCACGTTCTGACCCCCATTGCTATCAGCCCCTCCATCGCCTGCATTGGGCTCCATCTTTTCAGCAGGTGTTCAGGCTACAGGTGGAACAAGTCACCTAAACTGAGGATTACATACAACAAGAATGACAAAAATCCAGAGAACACAGACCAGACAAACAACAAAGACAAACTGCATTTGGCTGGTATGTTGTACAGGTGTTTGTTGGGAGAATAAAGAATGATCTCCACTGTTCATACTGCACAATTTTTTAAAAAATGAATTCAGTACAATATTTTTGATATTGCAATATTTGTTTTTCCACCGCACAGCCATGCACACATATTCAAATATGGCACATATTAATGTTTATTTTATTAACACAGATTCTCAATTTTTCTATCATTTTATGAGCTTAAATATACTTTAAGACATAAGAGACGTTTTCACAAGTTATGTGCAGAAACACTGTTCTACAACGTTCTCCCACTTTTACACTGTTCTAGCTAGAATGTTCTCGCTCTTTTACTCTGGTTCGTCTGTGTTCTGAGCTCTGCACATTCTAAAGACAACAGAAAACATTAAAGGCCAGAACAGAGACAAAACAACTGCGAACAAACCCCCGAAAATGTTGGTAAAATCTAGACCGTTATCTCTTTTTCACTCTTCAGTCAGGACTTTTCAGGCCTTCAGTCTAAAGTCCAAGAAGTAAGGTGAAGCCCCGCAGTATCAGAAGGTAAAAATGTTATAAAGGACGGTTTACAGTCGTGCTAGATAAGAGTCGAGTCTGCTGGACTCCGACGTAAACACACTCAAACCTGTAATACTGGTTAGCTAGCAAACTAGCCTAGCTAAGATAGCTAGCGTTACCTCACCAATCAACACGGTAACAATGGTCAGTCAAAGTACTTAACACTGTAAAGTAGTATATAATGTTTAGTGTTAAATATACCGCTAAGAGGGAACGCGAGTGCTAAATACACATTAAATTTACCTCAGAGTCACGAACAGAGACATTTTGACAGCTGAGCTCAAACCGCCGCCATTTTCAAACTTCTTCGCTGGTGGTGAATGGAGAGGAGATGAGGACTCCTGAGCACTCCTACTGACTCCTGAGGACTCCTACTGACTACTGAGGACTCCTGCTGCCTCCTGCTGACTCCTGCTGCCTCCTGCTGACTCCTACTGCCTCCTGCTGACAAATATTGCCTTAGACCTAAATGTTAAAGATAGTTTTGTGATATATGCTGAATATACTGCTTTTATAACATTCAAAGGGCTGGAGCTATACAGACTGCACAGTGCAGACAAGGCAACACAACCACCATTCACATGCACTTTTTATTCCAGCTTAAACTTCAAAGCTTAGACATTTTTACAGGTCAGTGAAGTTCATTGGTGATTGTCAGTCGCTAGTCACCAGCATATAGCTAAATAGCTAGCTAACGTTAGTTAATCTAGACTAGGAATCCATCTTGACTAATCTGATTTTAACATGTCTGGTATTAATGACATCAAGTTACTTACAATAAATTAGCGTGCTAATTTCTATGTTTACATTTAGGTAGAATTTAATGTGCATTTGTATCTGCAGTTGCATTTAATTCATACTCTGTTATTAACTTCTTCTACAGCTTCAGGTTTTCTTTGTCCACTACATGTGATTGAGAGGGTGAGAAATCATTGGATTCTGGTTTTCCTGGAACAATATTCAATCCAAAATTTGTCTGGTCTCAAAGGTTCCACAAGGTAATATTTGAAAATTTTTGTTGTTCAATAATAACAAAGAGAAAAATACTATAAAACTAACACTTATTGCTTTACCCAATGGCTTGTCATCCACATTTTTAATTAAATTACCTTTTGAACCTGGCATTTAACTCACTCGCTCACATTTAACAGGCTGAAGATTGAGTGGTGCTTTGCATGAAAAGCTGCATTCCAAAAGCTACGCTGTGGTCCTGGTGGGCTGCATTTCTAGACTGATGCATTATTCTGGAAAAATTCACTGTGCACTGACCTTGAGATTGAAATTACACTAAGCTGTTTTTGAAAACTGTACCATTTCAAAAGAGAGAATATTGACGAAAAGTTTGCACTTCATGTTTTCTTGATTTATACTAGTCGTTTTAACTAGTTTTAAAAAATGAGTGTGGGTTAAATGTCTATTTCTTTTCACATTAAACATTATTAAAATGTTTTAATGAGATGATTGACCAGTACATTTAATATGTTTTCAGGTTAGTGCAGAGTTCATGTGCATATCCATAGTCCCTCTGCAATCAAAGTTTTTTGCTCAGCTTGATGAGTGTCATGACTAATGTGCACCTTTCAAAGCACATGTGAAGTGGTTGAGAGAAAAATAAGACGTCTCGTGGTTCATGTATCTCAACGTTGTCCTGAATATTAGGCCTATGCTATAAAGTGGACTGTTTTTCCTTACAACTTTTAAAAACATGGAAACTCCAAAGCTTTTGTATTCGAAAGGTTTCATCTCAAAATGCATTATTGACCACTTTCAAGAATTAATTTTTTTTTGTGATATGTGTTGTTGGAAGCGGACAGATAGGAGAAATACCAGTGCCGTATTATAATTAATGCTTTATTAGAGAAATAATAATGTGTTTTTCATCAAAAGTCAGTTGTTATTCTTTTCAATAACTCTTTATATCCAAAATTGTTACAAATGGATATACAGCATTTTGGAATAAAACTCTTCATTTCAACCCCAGTGTTAACTTTAAATTGCCAGTGGCATTGTCATTTGTCTTTTTCTTCTCAGAATGGCAACCTACGTACCCCAAGGGCATGCATCGTCAAGTCTCAAGTTCAATATCTGAATAAAGATCAAGTCAAGTCAAGTCAAGTCAGGCTTTATTGTCATTTCAGCTATATACCAGCACACAGTGAAATAAAACAACATTCCTCCAGGACCATGGTTCAACACAGGAAGACAGGTGCAAAACAATGCAATATGTACAGCGCAGACAATACAGTACAATAAATAAATACGAAAAACTTAAAATAAATATGAAACAGAACACAGGCAGTACACGGTACTGAGAGTATGTGGAGTTGTGCAAAGGAGAATGTAACATACTATGACATATTAGCAGCTTAGCAGACAGCTTAGCATATATGAGCATAGCAGTCACTGAGGTCAAGTCAAGTCCAGTCAAGTCAAGAGGCTTTTATTGTCATTCCATCTGTGTACAAGTACACAGTGGAGTGAAATTACGTTCCTCCAGGACCATGGTGCAACATTGAACAAAATAAGACAATACAGACAAAGTGCAACCGTGCAGACGTAAGTGTGCAAACATTAAACTAGAAACAATACAATAAATATGGTAAATAAAACAGACATTAGACACGGTAAATAGACAGGACAGTGCAGCGCTGACACAGCACTCATTTCTGAACATGAGGTAGTGAGAATAAGATGCAGAGATATTTAACATGCTATGGTATGTGGGAATGCACAGTCAGATTATAACACATATGAGCACAGCAGTTACTAAGGTAGAAACATACAGTACTTCAGTAAAATACAGTATTAGTATTAGCAGCAATGTACCAGTGCAAGAAGAGCAACAAAAAGTGGTGTGTGTGAGTGTAAAGTGTGTGTGTGTGAGGGGGTTTTCAGTTCTGTCTTTGTGAGTTTAAAAACCTGATTGTTTGCAGAACAAAGCTGTTGCAAAGTTTGGCAGTGATGGCACGGATGCTTCGTTACCTTCTGCCAGATGGCAGCAGTGAAAAAGTCTGTGGGAGGGATGGATGGGGTCGTCCACAATGCTGGTGGCTTTGCGGATGCAGCGTGTGGTGTAAATGTCCGTGATGGAGGGTAGCAACCAGAACAGCAATGGTATACAGTATTTGGTTGATACAGTAATTCTAGCAGCTAACATTGTTAAAGTGAAATAAAATGTGCAAAAATGCAAGTATTCAGATCTACAGTCATATCGAATGAAGTGTTTCCGTGAAATGCAGTAATTATATTTAAATACAGTGTTCCATAATTTGGAACTGCAAGAAGTGGGGAGTGAGTTAGTCCCATATTGTTATGTGTGTGTGTGTGTGTGTGTGTGTGTGTGTGTGTGTGTGTGTGTGTGTCTGTGTCTGTGTGGGTGTCCATCAATTCAGTCCGTGGGAGTTCAGGAATCTGACGGCTTGTGGAAAGAAACTGTTGCACAGTCTGGCTGTGAGGACCTGAATGCTGCGGTACCTTCTTCCAGATGGCAGAAGAGAGAACAGTTTGTGTGAGGGGTGTGTGGGGGCAGCCACAATGCTAGTGGCTTTTCGGATGCAGCGTGTGGTGTAAATGTCCGTGATGGAGGGAAGAGAGACCCCGATGATCTTTTCACCTGTCCTCACTGTTCCGTGGAGGGTCGTGCGGGCAGAGGCGGTGCAATTCCCAAACCAGGCAGTAATGCAGCTGCTCAGGATGTTCCCTATAGTGCCTCTGTAGAAGGTGATAAGGATGGTGGACGGGAGATGAGCTTTCCTTAACTCCCGCAGGAAATAGAGACACTGCTGGGCTTTCTTGGTTATGAAGTCGGTATGTATGTAACTGTATGTAGAGTTTCATTTCAAAACACTACTTTCATGAATTTTCTGTTGTTTTTCATGATATATGTTGATGGGAGTTGGCTTTACACATAGAAGAAATATCAGTGCTACACTTAATTAATATTTTTAAAATATAAAAATAATAAAAAGCAAGTTGTACGCTGGGAACAAAAGCTCCTGGAGTGATGGTCATTGCACACTTAGCTCTCCTCTGATGCGAGGGACAGCCTGCATGTGTTTTTTTCCTCTCTCTCGCTCTTTCTAGGACGGAGTCTAGAGGGCAGTGCTACTGTCACTGCCCTGTCTTGCTCACTCCCTCTCTCCTCCTTCTGTTCTAGTTTTTGAGTTGAGATGACTTGGGCTTCATTGAGTGGAGACTATCAGACTGCAAAGTTAGCTTGGATTGGTAGTGGGCTTTGGGGGATGGTTCTGCTCGCTGACCGCCACTCTTATGCCCTCATGGCAGAGCCTTTCCATCGAGCTGCCGTCTGCAGAGAGCTAAAATGTGTGCCTGTGGGAGACCTGTGTGGTGCAGGAGGAGGGGACAACAGAGTCCCATGAGTATGACAGCATGCTGGGCCTCTCTCATGACATCATGCTGGCCCGCATCACGTGTCTGTCGGACGCCTTGGCCCCGTTGGGCCTCATCATTATCATCCCCGGACTAAAGCATGTGAAGAGCAGTCAGGGGTAAGGCGGCTGGTGGGTGAAGCGTGGGTTGAAGATGATACAAGGGGTCCTTTGCTGCATAGCTGGCACTGTGGGTCTCATCCCTGTTACCTACATAGCCCAGGACATATTGAGGAAGTTCTATGACCATTCAATGTCGGAGATGGTGCCTCGCTTCGAGTTTGGAGATGCACTCTTTGTGGGCTGGGCTGCAGGGTCCCTCCATGTGGAGGCAGCATTCCTATTCTTTGTCTCCTGCCTGGGGTCGCGCCATGCCGTGCCATGCATGGTGTACCACCGGCGCCAGGACGATTGCCTGGCTGCCAGTGAACCTTCAGGAAATTACACAGAGTCTGCTTAACGGACCTTCAATGAGTACGTCTAGAGCTGTACTTGTTTTGGAGCGTTGAACAACATGACAAGATTTTGCTTTTTTTAATGGTTTCTGAAAATATTATTCTTAACAGTTTATGGCTGAATGCTGGACACAGCTATACTGTGTTTTTTCTTTGCTCACTGCAGTGTAACAGTATGGATCTACCAGTATGTGGTATGTCAGCACCAGTAATTTGTTTTCAAAATTTTCGGTAACTGCTAATTTTTATGTACATATTTTTTCCTGCCAAAGGCAGTTTTCCTTGCTATCCATATATCTATGCTTCACTTGTGTGTACTATCTAAATGTATATATAGGGACGTAAATAATATTATATATTATTAAATATAAGTTTTTTTTAAATTATGTGAATTTCCGATAGAAATTTATGTGCACATTAGTTCTTTGCATGTAAATGATCAGTACATCTACTTTGTACCTATACTTACTACCCATTCTGTGTTGGTTAGTATGTGCTGATCCAGCTCTGATTCC